TGCCGTCGGCCAAGCAATGTCGGCTGGCGACCCCCAGGGGGAGGGCCTTCTCTGTGGGTGCCCCCACCCTCTGGAACGAACTACCCCCCGAGATCCGGACGATCCCGGATCTCCTAACCTTCCGCCGCGCCCTCAAGACATGGCTTTTTCAGCAAGCGGGACTGACCTAGGGTGAATTTTAAATAGGGAAATTTTTTAATGATTTTAATAATGACACAGCTATAAATATTTGGTTTTTAATTGGTTTTTATTGGGGAAATGTTTTTGTGTTGTTTTAACATGCTGTGAGCCGCCCTGAGTCCCGTGGGGAGAAGGGCGGCATATAAGTTAATGAAATAATAATAATAAATTCCAAAAACGAGGAATTATATGTTGCCATTCAGCTAGTTAAAGAAAAATATGCAAATGAGTGGGTTTGCAGACTTAATCACCAGACAATTTAAGGATCAACCAAAGTTTAGAGAGATAGATGCATAATTTGCCCTAAAACTATGCGACAAGATTATTTTGGATCTGGAACAGGAAAGAAACCTAAATAAGGACAATGAGCTATAATTCCTCTGATATAATCTGAAACAAACTATATTTTCTAAATGGTTCAAAGCCAGCTAGGAAGTCAGAGTTGGGGAGCAGTCAAAAATGCTGAATGAAGTGAGAAGTAATTCTAGAGATCGTCAGAATCTAAAAACCTACTTCAAATATCTCAGTAACATTAGATTGCCTAACAACTGTCCTATCTTTTCTTTTCAAAGTCAGGCACCTACACTACTACTTCACACACTCTGTTTGGAAGCCTCCTTGTTTCAAAACAAGTTGTCAAAGTAATGGCTGCTCTTGAGAAGTCTGTGCCCCTTTGGACTTCTCAAAGAAGGTGACCATCTTCTTCAATCTGGCATGTCTAGATTGAGAACTATGGATGTTGAGGACCAGCAGATAGAGAATACTAAGACAGCCACCTTATATGCTAAATGATATTTAAAATTTACATGGCTAGTTTTAGAACTAGTGGGCCTATCTGTCTTTAGTTCTGTCTTTGAAAAATATGTATCAAATAATCGGAGGATTTCAGATGCTCTTTATACAACTTTTTTCATAGAATATGGAATCACAGGGGTCTCAGAGGTCTTCTAGCCCAACCTCATGCTTAAGGAGACCTTATACCAGGGGTAGGCAACCTTGGCTCTTTTATGACTCGTGGACTTCAACTCCCAGAATTCCTGAGCCAGCCATGCTGAGGGGAAAGAGAGAGGTTTCCATGCTTAGCCATGCTGGCTCAGGAATTCTGAAAGTTGAAGTCCACGAGTCATAAAAGAGCCTTAAGCATGAGGTTGGACTAGAAGACCTCTGAGACCCCTGTGATTCCATGTTCTATGAAAAAAGTTGTATAAAGAGCATCTGAAATCCTCCGATAATTTGATACATATTTGATACATATGACTCGTGGACTTCAACTCCCAGAATTCCTGAGCCAGCATAGCTGGCTCAGGAATTCTGGGAGTTGAAGTCCACGAGTCATAAAAGAGCCTACCCCTGCCTTATACCATCCCGATCAAGTGGTTGTCCAGTCTATTTTTGAAAAACTCCAGTAATGGAGCACCCACAACTCTGGGAGGCAAGCCATTCCACTGATTAATTGTTCTCACTGTCAGAAAAAATTTCTTTCCTTCTAGGTTGGAACTCTCTTTAACAAGCTTCCATCCATTGCTTCTTGTCTGGCCCTCTGATGCTTTGGAGAATAACTCATTCCCATCTTCTCTGTGACAGCCCCTCAAGTACTAGAAGACAATTGTCATGTTCCCTCCTAATCTTTCTTTTTGATAGATTAGACATACCTAGCTCATTCATCATACGATTTAGCCTCCAGACATAAACTTGAGAAATTCACATCCATATGTCACGAACAATAGCTTTGCAGATTCTGAAACTATTAATAGAATCTCTTCCCCAACACTCATGATAATAGAGACCATACTTTGACATTTTCCACATAAATTTACAAATAACTGTTGCTGGTTATTTAAGCTAAGATCACATAAGTTTTGTTTGAGTACGCTTCTAAGCAGCTTGGAAATGTGTTTAACATTAGACAATCTGAAGTTCTTCTTTTAAAGCCCAATTAATATATACAGATAAACCATAATTGCTAAGCCAGAATTCTAAAGTTTAGCATGAGCCACCCACATATGTCCATCTGTTCTTGTTTTCTGTGTATAGGGAAAGCTTCTCACAATTATGGCTGTTGTTCAGAAGAAGAAGAAAAAAACAAAAGCCAAGCAGCTTGTACAGTTAAATGCATAGAAACAATACATGTAATAATCATATACCTGAAAGAAAAAGAATCTCAGCTTTCTGTTTATTTTTTATTTGTAAACAACTTTTCCTCTGCTTCATGAAATACACAAATAAATTACATATGGCTTTGGCTTCAACAAACATCATCGGTCTCATTTATAAATCTGTTCAGATGCCAGAAATCAGCATTAGATCTCCCCCATTTAATGAAAGGGGGAAAAAATAATCTTCTGGCAGTTTTCTAAAAAGTAGGAAGTTGCCATCAGCAACTGATAGCATGTGATGTTATCAATTGCTATCCATCCAAGTGTATATGAACCAGTAAGGTAGTTGTTTCTTTTTAATCTATCAATCAGTTAGAACAGTTAGCCGTTAGAACAATTAACCAATGGAACAACCTGCCTCCAGAAGCAGTGAATGCTCCAACACTGGAAGTTTTTAAGAAGAGACTGGACAGCCATTTGTCTGAAATGGTATAGGGTTTTCTGCCTGAGCAGGGGGTTGAACTAGATGACCTCCAAGGTCCCTTCCAACTTTATTATTATTATTATAATCAGAATAGAGCTGGAAGAGACCTTGGAGGTCTTCTAGTCCAACCCTCTACTCAAGCAGGTGGCTGTCCAGTCTTTTCTTAAAAACCTCCAGTGACGAAGGCAAGCTGTTCCACTGGTTAATTGTTCTCATTGTTAGGGAGTTTCTCCTTAATTCCAGGTTGCTTTTCTCCTTGATTAGTTTCCATCCATTGTTTTTTGTTTTCCCTTCTGGTGCTTTGGAAAATACGTTGACCCCCTCTTTTATTTATTTATTTTATTTTATTTATTATTTTATTTATTTATTTTATTTTACTTTTTTATTTTCTCTTACTCTGGAGATAGCATTGCCCAAATCCTGGCATGAACTATTGTTTCTCTTCCAGCTTTGAACTCAGCTGCTAGAATTCAAAGCCGCAACCGCAAATGATGATCACCCCCAATCTTATCTGATCCCTTTTTATTCTTGAAAACCACAGAGGACTTAAGCAGCTGAGTCAGTCCTCCAGTTGTAACTTGATAGGCTGAGCTGAGGAATTGGGTGAACACTTCAGTTCCTTATCATATCTGCCTCTTTGCTGTGTGTAAGATGGTTCTTTGACTTTCATTACTACAACGAGATCAGATGACAATACACACGACCAAATCTATAACAGGGGCATGAAAAAATAGTGGGTCTCTAGACTTGTCAATTGATTAAAACAGCCTGGTAAGTATCTGGTATCAGATGTGTTGTGGCTACAACAATCAGTACAAACATTCTGGAAATGTTGGTCCTAACATAGCTGGAGGCCACTAACTGGTAAGGCTGGGTTAAAGGAACAGTATACATATGGATCTGCATAATATGATATTTGCATACAGAGTTTGTGGAATAAGGAAGAAAATGTTTGATTAAATATCTGGGATTTACGGTACATATTTTTGCTGCTTGCTTGTGACCATGACATATTTTAATTGCACTAACATGCTTTTATCTGATGTTATAAGATACGTTTGAGATCCTCAGTTGAATGACAAGGCAGAATATAAAACGGTTTAAATGAATATAATATTAGGTACAATAATGAGAAATTAATCTGGGGAAATAGTGGATAAAAGAACCGGAAATATGCACTTTTTTTTAAGAAAAGAAAAAATGTATGAAGAAGAACTGGAGAATTACATATGTTTAGCCTGGAGGGGAAAAAATACTGTGAGGCAACACGATACTATCTTTAAATATTTAATTTGAAATTTAAAAATTAAATTTAAATCTTCAAATTTTAAAAATTTGAAATGCTATCCTATAGAAGGTGGGTATTATTATTCAGAATTGTAATAGAAGATAGGGGAAAATGTGTTTTATTTAAAGAAAGTAGTTTCCAGCTAAAAACCAGAAAGTAAATACTGATAGTTGTTCAATGATGGGACAGACTTTCTTGGGAGATGGTGGACTCTACTTTTCATTGTTAGAGTTTAATCATGGCCATCTGTCAGGAATACTACAGCAATGGATTCCAGCACTGAGCTGGGGAACTCTGGGAGTTGAAGTCCACACACCTTAGAGTTCCCAAGATGGGAAAACACTGAATTAGATGATCTCCAAAGTCATTTCCATACATTACGTTGTAAATTGAGTTCCATGGAGATATTATCAAAGAAAGCTCATAAGAGGTGGAATCATATGCCACAACATACATATTCACAACTTTTGCAAACTGGTCCAAACTTGCTCAGGAGCAACATCGCGTCAACCTTAGCTAATCATAAAAAGCTGAGTGACAACTGGTTAGACCAGGGTTAGGCAACCTTGGCTCTTTTATGACTCGTGGACTTCAACTCCCAGAATTCCTGAGTCAGCATGGCTGGTTCAGGAATTCTGGATATTGAAGTCCACAAGTCATAAAAGAGCCAAGGTTGCCTACCCCTGGGTTAGACATAAGAGAATGATCTCAAGGACATTCCCAGGCCATCTTACCACATCGTAAGTCTGGGTGGCTTATAATCATAAAAGATATACATTATTGTATGCAATCCAATTACAGATGGGGAGGGCAGAGGGGCAGGTGGGGGGAAGAGGTGGGATATGTTGTTAATCAATCAGTCACCTCCACTATAATGCTCCTCCATTGAGGCCGCAAGCTAGCTGGCAGAGGCCTTATATGGAAGGTCACGTGGCTTGGGGCCAAGCTCACACTGGGGGGCAAAACGTTCCATAGGGCAGGAGCAACAGCAGAGAAGGCCCTTCTTCTGGAGTCTGCTAGCCAGAATAATCATGCCTCCTCTGACAGCATGGGTGGGACAGCCAATCCCAGGTTGAAAGTGGTCATTCATTTCTGTACTATTGCTAAGAAAACTACATGGATGTGATTGTGAAGTCACAAAGCATCAGCCTTGATTGAAGAGAGAATTTACTTACTTCACTTCAAATATCAACTATTTGTAGGACGTATCTTTTTTAAAAAAAAATATTAAAGGACAAAGAAAGTACACAGTATTTTTTCCCACCACCATTTTATTTTTGATAAATTTAGGACAGAAGGTATACAATACTTACTTTACTTGAGAAGGATAATTTCCGTATACATTGGGATGGGTGTTTGAAATATGCCCATTCATTATGATCACCACTACTTCTGTGGGAATAAAAACAGGGAAAGGATGGGAAAAAGAGAGAATCATTTAAGACATTCCGTACAATAATTCCAACAAACACTTATGAAAGCCTACAGAATTAGCCAATTATGACTGTGGGAAAACAGAGACCTTTTCAAAATAATGGTTTGCAAGTAATTTTCCACAGTATGTACCCACACAGGCATGCCTGTACACACACACACAAACACACACACAGAGAGAGAGAGAGAGAGAGAGAGAGAGAGAGAGAGAGAGAGAGAGAGAGAGAGAGAGCATTCGTTTGCTATCTCAAGGAATAACAGTTCCCCCAGCAAAGTGTGTTTGTCAGAGTGGGAAGCAATTGTGAGCATCAGATCCTGCTGAATTCTTCTTTATTTTACCTCCAAAATCAACATGATTACCAACTAATATTTATCATTCCTACTATATTCACACTTTTATAATCAGACAACATAGCTGAGTTTACAAATGTCCCTCCCAGGTACAGGTAGTCCTTGACTTATGACCACAATTGAGCCCAAAATTTCTGTTGCTAAGTGAGACAATAGAGTAGAGTAGAGTAGAGTAGAGTAGAGTAGAGTAGAGTAGAGTAGAGTAGAGTAGAAGAGAAGAGAAGAGAATTGAATTGAATTGAATTACGGGATAGAGTAGAGTAGAGTAAAGTAGAGTAGAGTAGAGTAGAGTAGAGTAGAGTAGAGTAGAGCTGGAAGGGACCTTGGAGGTCTTCTAGTCCATCCCCCTGTTCAAACAGGAGATCCTATGCCATTTCAGAAAGTGACTGTCCAGTCTCTTCTTAAAAACCTCCAGTGATGGAGTACCCACTGTCATGGTTCCGATAGATGAAACCCTTCAAAAGAACTTCGAGGCATTGTTTTCCTTAAAGAGTGTTTTATTCGGGAAGCAAAGTATCGACACTATATAGTTGAACCCAGAAACTAAATTCCCTTCCCCTGATACAAAGAAACAAAGTGCAATTCCCACCCCCAATAAACTGCCATAAATCACATTCCCCAATTAGCTTAAAGCCCGGCCTTTCTCCTTAGGTCCACAGCCCGCCAAAACGTTATCAGCTTGGAACGTTATCAGCTTGTCCTTAGATTCCGTTATCAGCTTGCCCTTAGGTTCCCACCACAGTGTTATGTAATGCTGGCTGAGCTTACATTCCAACCCTCCCCTTGCTGCACCTGATTTCTAAAGCAAGACAAGCATTGTAAAGGTACAGAGAAAATGGCTGCATTTTCATCAGTTGTCAAAGCGGAAACATCCAATGTTAGCAGCGTTGACACCCACAACTTCTGAAGGCAAAGCTGTTCCACTGGTTAATTGTTCTCACTATCAGGAAGTTTCTCCTTAATTCCAGGTTGCTTCTCTCTTTGGTCAGTTTCCAACCATTGTTTCTTGTCCTGCCCTCTTTCTTGCCACAACTGTTAAATGAATCTCTGCAATTGTTAAGTTAGTCGTACAGTTGTTAGGTGAATTTGGCTTCCCCAGTGAGTTTGTCAGAAGGTTGCAAACGTTGATCACATGACCCCGGGACACCGCAACAATAATAAACATGAGTCAGTTCCCAAGTGTCCAAATTTTGATCACGTGACCATGGGGATGCTGCAATGGCCGTAAGTGTGAAAAACAGCCATAAGTTACTTTTATCAGTGCCACTGTAATCTTTGAACAGTCACTAAACAAACTGTTGTAAGTCGAGGACTACCTATACTTAAGAAGCATCTCTCCAGAAGATCTTTGAGTTCATCAAGTTGCTGGATTGAAATTCATTCTCTTAATTAATTACTAAGTGTCTTCATGCAGCTGATCAATCAGGTACTACATGACCATTTACACAAAGGGGTTTTGGTGTATCTTGGTGACATCCTGCTGTTCTTTTATATACAAGGGCTCAGCCATCACATTGCTACACTTGTTTATGTTGTGATTTAAATAATAGAATGCCCAGAGTCACTGGGAGTTGGGCAGCAAATACATTTAATAAATAAATAATAAGATCCCCCCTTATGTGCTAAGAAAAATGAAAAATTGCCACCGTTTAAAAATGAGCAAAGCCAACTGTCACGTAGATTTTTATTTTCTGTGAGTCAATAAGGAGAATCAGGGGAGATATAACAGGATTCTCTCAGGAATAACTACGTCTTTAAAGGTTTGTTAGCTGTGTGTCACCCATAGGAACTGTTAAAAATTTATGAATATTGATCTACCAGTCCTGTTAGCTTAATATTGTCTGCTTAGCACAGACCCCTGAGGAATTCAACAAAACAGCCTTTACGTTTTTCTTACTATTCGGTGACTTTTCAATGTCATGGCTCTTCAAATGTGAATAACTGTACAGTATATAAACCAAAACAGGTTGAATTCGCACAGCATGTTTAAAAACAAAAAAAAAAACATATTGGCTTAATATATCACATGAAGGAGGTCATTATCATTTTTGCTAGATGTACCAGTCTGGGGTTTGAAATCTGCTAGTATTCTAATGGTCAAATGGTTTAATAACATCTATGTTCCTTTTAATTATTATTTTAAATATTATTTTTAAATGTTTTTTAAACAATTAGCTTTCACGAATGCTTGCAGAAGAGCAAAATGGTAGAAATCAAAATAATAAATACATTTACAGACAAAGCTTTGCTGTTCCATGAAATCTCAGTCCTGGCTGACATGACTCTTAAATCCATCAAACTCCATGTTTTTCAAAATAATGAGGATGCCCAGAAATTGCTAAGTCATGTGCTCCCTTTATTTATTTTTATTTGACAATACATGCTAAAGTTTAAGAGGATTTTTTTTGCTACATTATGCTCCCAGCTATGTCCAAAAGCATACTCTTTAAAAATATTGGATATGTAAACTGCTAATACAGTTGCTAAAAATGATGCCAATCAAAATTTGTCAATTGAAAATATTACCAATGAACCCATACAGGTAGTTCTCGACTTACGACCACAGCTGAGTCCCAAACTTCTGTTTGTTAAGTGAGTTTGCCCCCATTTTACCACCTTTCTTGTCACGGTTGCTAAGTGAATCCCTGCAGTTGCTAAGTTAGTGATACTGTTGTTAAGTGAATCTGCCTTCCCCATTTGACTTTGCTTGTCAGAAGGTCACAAAAGGAGATCCCATGACCTCAGGCTACTGCAACCGTCATAAATATGAGTCAGTTGCCAAGAGTCTGAATTTTGATCATGGGGATGCTGTAACGGTCGTAAATGTGATAAACCGGTCATAAGTCACTTTTTTCAGTGCCGTTGTAAGTTTGAATAGTCACTAAATGAACTGTTGTAAGTCGAGGACTACCTGTACTTTATTGGAGACTCTGTTAGG